CTGCCGAGAGTCATGCTAAAAGCTTAATCATGTCGGGGTGCCAATGTATTCACAGCCTCCCTCCTACCTCTTCTATCCCTAGCTCATTCCTACCTCCTGCCTTCCTTCCTATCACTTCTGTCTATCCTTCCCCCCTACTTCTTCCATACTTTCTCCGTTATTCCTACGTCTTCTGTCCTTCCCTCCTTCTTACTTCCCATATCCGCCTCTCCTCCCCCCCTCCTTCCTCTTTCTATCACTTCCTTCTTGACTTCCTCCCACCTCTTCTATCCTTCCTCTGTCCCTCCCTCTCTCCCTAATATCACCTCCTCTATCCTTCCCTCCCTCCTACCTCCTCCATCCCTCTCCAACCAACCGCCCTCCGTATCTAGCCTCCTCTCCCTCCCTCTACAACTTGCTCTCTTACCCTTTCCCTCTATTTCCATTCCTCTCTGTGTCTCTTTGTTCCTCCCTATCTCTTTCCTGATCTTCGCATGCTTTATTTCTTTCTCTGTCTCCCTCCATTATCTACCATTCTATCTCTCTCCCTCGATACAATTTTCTTTCCTCCTGTCCCTCCCTTACTGTCTCTCTCCCAACACATTGGTATCTAATAGTGTAACCCACCACACTGGTGGTTGAGGGTAACCCACCATACTGGTGGTTGAGGGTAACCCACCACACTGGTGGTTGAGGGTAACCCACCACACTGGTAGTTGAGGGTAACCCACCACACTGGTGGTTGAGGGTAACCCACCACACTGGTGGTTGAGGGTAATGTATAATTCATATTCCTTTGAACTTGTCTAAACAAACTAAGATTTCACAATTTCTCGAATATGAAATTTTGTGTGAACAAAAATCCAGGGGTTAAGGTGCTTTTCCGCTTCCATGGAACTAAAGGAAGTCGACCTCACATGACTTTGTTTTTACACGAGGTGGTGGAAGTAATGAGTCAAGTGGAGGAGATAATGAAAGTCGTGGTAGGAATGAGCAAGGTGACGATAGTGATAATTAAAGTGGTAGAGATGATTGGATGTTAGGAAAGAGTTTGGAAAGGAAAGAGTAATGGAGTCACTAAAGTAGTGTCTCTCCTTGGGCGAAACGTAAATTATTATTATTATAATCAAAAAGAAGCGCTAAGCCACAAGGGCTATACAGCGCTGCAGGGTAGGGAAGGAAGCAAGGGAATTGAATGGCAGAAGGGAGGGGGGATGATCAGCAGGTTACAGAAAACAGCGGGGCAGGGGATAGTACGGGGGTAGAGGGTAGCAAGAGATTGAAGTAGAAAGGGCTGGCGAAACGTAAAGGGAGCATGAGACAGAGAGAAGAAAAGTACACTCTGGAGGCTGCCCCTCTCATCACCTGAGATCATCGGCGGGCCGGCCGGCCGGCCGGCAGGCAGGCAGGCAGGCAGGCAGGCAGGCAGACAGGCAGACAGGCAGACAGGCAGACAGGCAGACAGGCAGGCAGACAGGCAGGCAGACAGGCAGGCAGACAGGCAGGCAGGCAGGCAGGCCAAGAAAACTCAATCCTCCGATTCGAGAGTGGTCTATACTTGCTATTGTGCACGTTTTTTTGTGCAGAATTCTCAACACAACATTAACCAAGAGCTCAAACTATTCTTTTACAGCTGCAACGAAACATTCACAATACAATAAACAAGTATCCCTGAATTTGTCTCCTCTTAGAAATTACGTTGATCAAACTTTCAATATATATATGTTTTCTTGTATATCTAGTCCATAGTAAAACGTCAACGGTGATACCGTTAGTTTATATAAAATAGCTAATGTTGCATTCTCGTCTATTTATGCAGACATCAAAGGAATTATGTCAAACTGACGTTCTGTATCATATTGTTTGTAAATTAGTTAAAAAAGTTATTGAAAGAAAAGAAAGAAATGCTTGTCACTGTCTGTAACAAACATTTTAATACTTATAGAAGAGTCAAATGACTAATTTGGGCGCAGTTATCTGTGATAAGAACGTTGATCAGCACTTTCATGGATTAACTTGCAATATAAACAGACTGATATCGTGGTTGTCGAGATTAAACTTGCATACAAGTATTTCTGGCGGTTTAGTATATTCACAGACGATAATCACAGTAAATGTGAACTAAGCAGTCAGCCTTATGGTGGCTTTCTTGAAACTGTGTTTGATTGTTCATGTAGTGAATATATTAGATAGTACATTGACCTATGAAAATAAAATTCAAAGAATTTATTCCTAAGAGATAAATACAAAAAATTTATTTAATTCTGATACGTATACCTGTTTTCCCTGTAAGGGCCTAATTATTAAGCGCTTCTGTGTTCCATTATGATCTAGTGCTATAGTCCACAGATAGTGAAGTCATTGCCTCTCTTTTTTCATCAGTTTTTAACAAACCCTCAAAATATTTCGTCATCGTTACCATAACCCCACCACTCCATTGAACATCTCTCTTTTGCTTGTATCTGCTAAATGTATTTGTTATTTAGGATTTTTCAACCTTTTAGTCTCATCAAAAAACTTTATTGTAGTCAAATTTGTTAATAAAGCCTTATCTGTCATTGGGTCTCATCTTTCACTCTCTCACTACTCTTTCATCCATCTCTTTTTCCCTCTGTATACTTTACCTTCAGTGCATCACTTCAGTTTAAAACCCACTCATATGCTTTTTTCCTGTCTTACCACCCCCTTTCCCTAATCATTCCACCCATCGCTTATCTTCCCACTTGTACCCACCCTCATATGCCCATAAATTTCTGCTGCACACTAACACTACATTCATAAATCTACCCACTCCTCATTACCTTTACTCTCTCTAGCCCACCTTTCTCTCAATAGTTGCTTATATCTTACTTTATCTTCTTTAATTTATTTTCCTTTGCTTGACTCTTATCCACCGATGACATTCTCCTTGTACCCTGTTTACATCTGACTCTAACATCCATCCCTCTCTCGGGAGAGATTCCTTTGTTCTGACGATGCTCTTGGTAGTGGTAGTCGTGACGGTAATGGCGGTGGTGGTAGTGGTGAAAGTGTAGCTACCACTAAATAATGATAAGATACATCCATCGCCTCTCTAAAAGCATACACATTCAGAATTCTACCCATCAACGTTTCATCTATCAAAACGTACTCTAACAAACTGCTGTCATTACGCCCTATATTATATCATATACTTATTCTCTTATTCTTAAAATGAGTACTGCCTATTACCGAATCTCTTTCTATACATAATTCAATTATCATTTGTGCCTGGCATTCCAAACTTACTTATTATGCCACCTACAACAGTGTCTGCCACTTTACCATTTAGAGCTTCAAAACAATTATTTTCTCAGTTGGTTCAAAATACCCTAAACATTCACTGACTACCTCTACTTTCATCCCCAGGTGCATAAACAATTATTATAATCCATTTCTCACATCTCACCCTTATTCTAGCCCTCATAATAGTTGAGCTGAAACACTTATACCCGTCCTTTCCATCTATAGCCCTAGTTCTCTCAGAGACACTCGAATCAACCCCATAATTTTCCCATCCTTCAGCTCTGTTTAGTGCTAGGACATCCTATTTCTTTTCATTCATAACACTAGTCTACAAATTTTGAACAATATTATAATTCTGAGAAAAAAATGTTTAAGGTTCTAGGGATGCTGAAAACGAATATGACCATGATAACGATCGAATGGCTAAAGTTTCCAAGGAAATTTATTTACACATTTTGCATATACAGTATGTACACATTAATAACATTTGCTTGTCTCTGGAACATCTCTTGTTTTTGTCCAGTGATCAGTGTCTATCTGCAGTTGGCTGGAAAAAAGTTCAGGTGTGAAAAGAGGAACTGTATCTTTAAAAACATTTTCTGCCAGAAGAGTCCACTGCTTCAGACTGGAGCCCAATAGTTTGGCCTCACTCTTTGGCAGTTGTAAATCTTTGGTAAGGTTGTTTAATTCATTTTGAGTTATGTGCAGTTTAGAATATGTTAAGTGATGGACATATGCATGGTCTTGTACAGTTGGGGACTTGCAAGTTGTGCAGTTGAAGACTTCAAATTCCATTACCCTCCTCGTCCCCTGACTCAAGGAAAGAACGAGTTTGGCGACTGGGGAATGAACACTCCTTTGCTGTGTGTATAACAAAGGGTGCATTAGAAATATTGTACGGTCGATTTTTTTCTTGGAAATACCTTTCCTAACTGGAGGCATCATTTGGTTTCATGGAAATACATGTTACCTCCAGTTACGAAATATCTTTCCTAACCGGAGGTAACAATTGCTTAAATGATCTGTTGGCCCCTCCCACACAACTAGCACTACAGAAGGCAGAGATTTTTTTATCTGATTCAACCCTTGTCAAAGGTATGTTGCACAACTATTACAGCATATATGTGGGGCCCAGCTCTTGGACTTATCTCCGATCTTACAGCCAATATAAAGGTGACAGTCTTTCCTAATAGGCCAGTTATTGCACGCTTTTGCTATTCAAAAGTCAGTTCTCCACAAATATAGCAAAAGTTATCTGCCCTGTTCACGCAATTTTGTCCAAATTTGTTAAAAGTAAAATACTGAAAAAAGAGTTAGTGGGGAGATATAATGCTTGAATTTATCATCCGTTTTGCTAAAAAAAAAAAGATCAAGTTGCGCAGCTGATGGTCTATTGAAGACATGGCTAAGAGCTACAGATGATAAATATAAAAAAAAATATATGCATTTTTTGAACACTGTGGATTTGAATCAAAAACTTTTTCCTTGTACCGTTTATTTTGGTTGTAGACCAGTGTAATATTAACAATCTTTTTTTCTCATCTGCACTACACTCACGCACATACAAGCAACCCAACATCAGAATTTCCTTCAACCCTATCACTGCGCAAAACGAGTTAGCTAATGTCCTATTTCTGCGTATTTCTATAATATAATTTCAATTTTGCGTAGTATTGAATAATGAAAATAAGCTATGTATATTTTAAGAGGAATTTTTAAATAGTGAAGGAATTAACTTCTCTTTTTTTTCCATGTAGGAGATTCTGTGTCTTCGGTGCGCTTCTCTCAACCTACTGATGCGGGAGGAATTCTACCACTCCCAGTACGGTGGACCTGACACCCCCACACTCTCCGCCGTCAGGACCCACCCACACACCAACCCCAGGAACTCCTCAGAGATCCACCTCACCATCAATGAGCCTAGGGAGGCCAGCATCTCCGAGGAAGCACACGAGTCCAGGATTTAAGGATGTAGCTTCTCTGGACGCAGCTTGTACCAGAAGCACCACGTCAACCTTCACTAGTAGCGAGCAGGGAAACAACAGCGACAAGATTAGTTTGAATCCTGGGGAAAAGCTGTAAGAAATCATTATTGTTCGCTTGAAACTTCGTACGCAAGCAAGCACACACACACACACACACACACACACATACACACACACACACACACATACACACACACACACGCACACACACACACGCACACACACACACACACACACACACACACACACACACACACACACACACACACACACACACACACACACACACATTTGTTCTCATTCCACGAGAAAGGTGAGCATCCTTTCTGTGAGGCAGTAGATCAAACCGCTGCTGTGGTAGCGTAGGTCCCCAGGCACTGGTGTCGCAGGTGTGGGTTTCCATGCTTTGCTGCTGCTGGAGAGACTCTTTGATCACTCCAAACCACCACCACCACCTGCTACACACCCAATATCTTGCTAATACAAGAGCATGTGTGTACTCACCTAGTTATGTTTGCAGGGGTCGATTCATACCTCATAGCCCCATTTCTTTATCATTGATAGTTTTATTGATTTCTAGCTTCCAGGCGCCGTTGTATGTTAACATAAGCGAGGACGAGAGAACTCCAGATGGGCCCACATATATTGTCAGACAAAACAACACGAGCTTCAGGCAAGATTGACCAAATGTGAAAGTGCAGAAAAAGAGAGATTGCTGCATTTTAATCCTGAGACAATCAGGAGTGCATGAGGCAAACTTGGAAAATTATTTTCCCAAGTGCAATAATTTCTCATTACAGCCCTAGCCATTCCAAGAATAGGGTCAGTTTCAGTATTAAACTCTAATGTAAACTTTAATGTAGTTTTTAAAAATTTGTAAATATCAAGATTTTGGGTATGTGTTTATAGAGTTACTTTCTGCTAAAGACGCTATTATAAACTTTCTTTTTATGATCGCATTCTTTAAGCTCTAACGGCTCACCTGAGATCTTTCAGACTGACCGTTCTTTTAACAAGAGATGCTGGTTTAGGCAGCTCCAACTTTAATATTGAAGTCATATTTGTTTTGGAAAATACTGCGCCCTGAATTTGAAGCCTGATATGTCAAATGTTGCAGAATAATGGCCAGTGATTATCTGTGATGATTATTAGTGTAAGTGAGTGCTGGAGCTTCAGTCTTCATATTAAGTTTAACAGAATACTCACAGTTATCACGAAGTGAAGTTTGAATTATCGTAAATCAGTGACTCTAATAGAAGATATAAATTGCATATTAGAACATTTTAATCGTGAGAATAAGCGGACTAATTAAACAGGGAAAAAAATACCTCATGCTGATCAACAAACTGTCCTTAAGCGTATAACTCTGCAAGATATTTTTCAAGATTATTTATTGTGTGTAATCCAGGTTAGGGATGTGAAGTTGTGTACAGCAGTCTCTGTGGATGCCATCACTGTCGAGCTAAGGGCACAACAAGCTTCAAGTATAGGAAATCCCGTGAAACTTTATAAAAACTAATTCTGATAGTGCTGTGTTGTTTCATACGTTCTGTGTGAAGGAAAAAAATATTTTAGAAATACTTCTGTGGAAATGATTCCAAACTTTTGTGTTCTGGCATAGAAAACTAAGATGAGTCTGAAGCTGTGTTTATTAGTGCTGTGTGTGACCTTTTTATTGATGTGGTTATATCTGTCTGCACTAAAATCCAAAAGTTAAAGCCAATTACACTGTGACTGACAGCTTAATGTTTCTTTCATATAATGATCAGTATTAAAGTGGCACTCTGTTTATTGATGTAAAAAACAGTGAATGTTGTTTTACATATACTGCAAATCTGGTGATGTGCATCTAATGTTTTGTATGAACTTGGTTACTATCTCCGGAAGCATTTTCTACACACTGACAAACTCGAGTAATGTTAGGTTGTGTTCCTGGTGCTTATCCAACACATAATTCAGTATTTAGTAATGTAATTCTGTGTCTAATGACAAACAACTTGTAGTAGTTATTGTATGTTGATAAGTGAAGAGTTTGTGAAATATATTGCAAAAAGGAATTGCACATATATGGTCAGGTGAGTGTATCAACAAAAGTGATCGCAGATTGTATGACGAATTTGTCATTTTTGTGAGACTCTGTTAAGGCAAGCCAGGTAAGATGTGTCTTAAAATCTTCTTGTGAGAGATGGTGATACAACCTTTATATTTAACAAAGTCATAAAATCTACAGGCAAGTGACTGTTCAATGGAGTGCTCGCTTGATCCCAGGCAGGTTGAAGGCGTGTGGCGGGGAGTTAGCAGACAGGATACTATCTTTACTAACTTGACACTAGGTAGTTTAATCAGTTTGAACAAATGGGCAAAGAAGGGTATGTAAAAATTGTCTTAATATTGGTATGACTGAGGTCCTCTAGTTTGCGACACTATCCAGAGGGCTATAACCTGTAGCACTTGGTTCAAACAACTCCGCGAGTTTTTTTTTTTTTTCCTCTACTCGCTGAGGTCATCACTTGAATATGAAGGAAAACTGATTTGCATATATTAGCTTCTGTCTACTTCATTTCGAGTTCACTATAACACACGACCTAACATCTGTTCACTCCATCTATCAGCACACAGTTCGTCGTTGATTGTTATAATTTACTGTCGAGGTAATATTGGCGGATATCTAGTGAGCAAATTCATCACAGTCTATCACTGAATTTGTTATTCGTGTCGCTATTTGAGTTCACGTGAAACTGAGGATTTTGAATAGAAAATAAATTATGACAATTTTAGAATTTATGTTCACCAACACACCGAGTAGCGTATTCTTTTTCGAAAGTCAAGTCAGCAACTTAACACGAAAAAAAAAATTCAATGTCTTATTTTAAGTGTGAAAGAACCACTCTCGCAAATTCTTTGGTCCACCTAAGACTCGTGGTCATTGTTGTCCCAGAAAATTATTAATCTTCTTCAGTACACGAATAAAACTCAAGTAGGTGAGTGTACATACAGTACATATGGTAAAGGAACAATGTGTGTTTAATGACCATCAGTTAACAGTTTAATGAATGTATCCACATACACTTGTCTCAGATTCAGGATAATATTTTTTATATCATTGAATTCAAAGATTAGAAGCTGTTATTTACCTCAGGTTGTTTCAAAATCCTGACCTATTGTAAAGTATACCATTCCTCAACTTAACCTCCCCCCCCCTTTTTTTTCCAGGATGCGACCAACAACGGGAGGCTAACAGTCAGGTAACCGTTTACTGCGAGGTAAACAGTTGTTAAAAGCTAACATTCAGGCACCTAGTTTTTGCTAGGTTAAATTTATGGACCTGCCCGATAAAGGGTTTTAACAGGTGTGAGGAGACTTGCTCATACAGCTGAAGTAGCTACTTGTGCACCTACTGTCTGCTTAGTATCAGCAAACTTTTAAAAGTGTTCGAAAAATAAATAATAAACTAATGTTACAAAATAACTGTGATTATTTTACAATTCGAACCCACCAGACCGCTGGTTCGAGGAGCGATCATTTAACTGAATTTTGTACCTATCATTACTTACTGCCTGGAGTGCACTAACATTGGAAAATGCCTGGAAATTCTGGTCAGAAATGTGGGGCTAACGGCACTTCTCATAGTCGCTGTGGAGAAGAAAGAACTTTTGAATAATCTTGCGGAACTCTTAAAATTAAATATCTGTATTATCTTGAATACTTCCCTATGAATATTGTAATAATAATAATAATAATAATAATATAATAATAATAATAATAATAATAGAACACCTTACGAACTCCTTGCTTATCTTGTGAAAAAAGATAAAAAGCTCCATGTTGAAAAAGATGAAAAAAGCCAATTTTTCTGCAGACATTTGAATAAATTTTCAGGTATCTTTGAACCATTGTATCAATGGATATGAACTCAGTGAATAAACGGAGTAAACAAGAACTCGAGCCATGGTAGCTGGATGTAGCTAGGCCAGCGCTGCACCACTGAGGATGAGGCTTAGAAATAGACTGATTTCAAAAACAGCATTCCTGTGTTTATATGAGCGTTTGTGTGTACGTATGAGTGTATGCACTCGCCTAGGGGACGATTCACTGCTCCTGGCCCCGCCAAGTGTGTGTATATGTAATAAACATATATTTTCTTCATGGGTGACTAGGGATCGAACTAGGGGCAAGAATTTGCATGCCTGCCGCTCTAATGAACATGCTCATTTGAACTTCAATAAAGACCAAGATTCATTCCATATGGTCTTGGGAAAAGTTATTAGCGGTCACCAATTGCGAGAGTTGGTGACCGAGACTTCTTAGCCCTTCCTGTAGAAGTTCCTGTTAGCATGATGGCTGGAGTAGTGGGCTCGTATTTCTTACCCCCTATTCGATCCCTAGCACTCAATATAAATATTCAACTGTTTATTACAATTTCTAACGAACACACACACACAGTGGAGATAAACAAATTTATCAGAATAATTGATAGGATAAGCAAAGATAGACTGTTTGAGAGGGTACAGTTGAAAATTAAAGACAGATGATTCATGAGGAAGTATTACTTCAGTCTCAGGATGGTCAGGAAATGGTATGACCCGAACGAAGAAATGGGTGAGGCAGGCTTTATACGTAGTTTTAATAGTAGGTATGCCAGTATCTATGAGGTTAGGGAAGAGTGAAGTTGGGTAGCGGCAAGTCGAGAGGCAGAGCCAGTAGCTAAGACTCAACAACTGTAACAAAATATAGGCAAGTTTGTATAGGTAAATATTTGCAAAGTGGAGCCAAGTCTCGACCATCGCAAACCCAAATCTGAGTACACACACTGATCAAGATAGTTTACGTAAGATTTGTCAGGAACAGGACAAGTGTTTCCTGACGCAGGTCTTACTCATATGATGACCTACCATTAAAGCTTTTGCTTATCTGCCCGAGGCCTTCCGCTGGCCTATCTGTCCACCCCTTTAAATATTAGATATAATAGTATCGAGGGAAACCCTAATACACTGTTGTATTAACAGCAGATCACAGCCTACTTTAATTTGCATTAAATTGTTTGAGACTGATTTTCTTATACATAATTCATTTTCTTAGATTATGTAATGGCTAAGTCATTATACCTAACATACATGGTAACCTGTAAGTATCCATCATTAATTATTATGTACAATGCCTTTATAGTATGTACATTAATAATATGAATAGATTTGAACACGTAGCTAGCAAATGAAAAGGAGGTATCCATATTAATGGGTAGTATACGTAGAACCAGCCACTAACTGTACCTCTTTATGACAGGTATACATATTAATTAATATACAAATTAAGATCTAGAATACAAATTGATGCCACAGATTTATAAACATCGTGCATCGCATAAACACTATTTCTTTTAACATCACATAAATTAGCATCTGTAAACGGCATTACAAGCAACAATTATACACACAGAGCGTATACAAACACTTTAATCAATTAATATATATAAAAACAAAGGATACAATTATTAACCCGTATTGCATGTACTGATCCATTTTATCATCAATGTTAACCTTTAAGCATTAATTACCTAACATTAACCCTGCAATATTTTTTCTCTAACATTTGCTCTGAAATATCAATTCGCTGTGAATTCCCCCTTATCAGCCAGTGAAAGGAGTAAACTAGTTGATAAAATAAAGCAAGAGTGAAGTGAATTTCTGCCGATCGACGCGGCTGGTAATCAAGCCAAATGTGGTCCATAAACTAATGCTCTCAGGGTTTGAGAGTTTGCTTGCAACTACTTATCAGCGGGGCATTTGTTATTCCAGACAGCATAAGTTTCATGAAAATAACAGGATAATAGCCTATGGAAGTGCAAGAGAGTCATTAACGTTTCTAGCAGCCTCATGTATCCGGAAAATCCAGACATATGATGGTGCAATTGCAACATTCATGTGTTCAAACTTTAGCAGCCTCTATGATCAGACTGGACGTATTTAATAATGATAATCATAAATGAAGTACATTTAATATTATTACATTCATAGGAGAAGCGCTAAAGCCTTTTGGGAGTCCATCAACGCCGGGAGAATGGGAAGCAATCAGGTCCGATACAAGGGATGGTCCAGTTCCTTGGATCAAGAGTCCCTCATTATGAAATCTCCCTTGAGGGGCACTGAATTAAAGGTATATGATGAAAGACGATGGCGGAGGGTCCAGCCTGAGATGGAAAGATGTCAAGGGTCAACGTGACACAAAAATATTA